CTGTGCTGCCTTCCAGATTTCATGAGCAGTTTCGTAGAGAAGGAAATTCTCTCCGATTTCAGGAGTCATTGAGGTAATGAGTCAGAACATGACCATACTGTTTTCGATCTCCCAGGTTTGTGCATTTGCATCGGACGCTGGAGGAGGCATGGGCTCGCCAGTGAGGTGCCCATAACGCCTTCTTCCGCAGATGAAGAGACGGACAGACGACGACCATTTAAGGAAGTTTCTGCCATCGAGTTTATGTCCTGTGATACAGGATGATGGTAGTTCACTCACAGCTCTGGTTGTTGCTGTGTGATGATAAGAACCAGAGGAAACTTCTGGTGGAGAGGATGGAAGCTCACCCGAGGCCATTTTTGATTACGGCTCAGCAGGGTTTGATATCAATTTCTTTTTTTAGATCAGGTATTGCTTTGATACCAAGAAGAAAATTGAGAGAAAAAATTCTTCATATTTTGATGAATGATTTCTACACATATATATACAAGTCTACTACCCTAACGACTTAACAAATTCTGGAGAGAAACCTAACAAAATTCTGTTTCTAAGGACAAATTTATTGTAACAAATTTGTTGGTGATTCCCTCCATTTACAGCACATAACAGTTGTAAATAACCATTTTTAATCCTAATTTATTCTTCTAATTATTATATTTTCTACAATTTTTTTGCAGGATGTTCTTTATGTTCCAAAATTAACCCATAATTTAGTTTTTGTTTGTAAGCTAACTACTAACCTGCCATGTGCTGTTAATTTCTAAACAAATACTTGTGTTTTTCAAGATTTGAAGATGGGGAGGAGGATTGACAGTGCTAGGGTCTCAAACAGCCTTTATTATCTTTTGCTTTCTTCTTTTCTAACGAATAATGTTGGCTCTTTTATGTGTCTGTTTGCCATTTCTGTTGAAAAAGAAAAAATGTTATTACATTTTTGATTGAGTCATCCAAGTTTTACTTATATGAAACATTTGTTTCCTCGTATATTTTGGAATAAAAGTCTAATATTTCAGTGTGATAGATATCAATTAGCAAAACACACTCGCACATTCTTACCCACTCAAAATTAACATTTATCTACATCTTTTGCTCATACATAGTGATTTCTGGGGTCTTTTACATTTTCTTACACTTTTCTCTCAAAAGTGGTTCATCACATTTATTGATGATCATACTTGGGTATTTTGGATTTTTGTTCTCAATAGAAAATGATATGCCTCACGGGTTTTTAAGAATTTTTACCAAATAGTTCAAACACAATTTGATACAAAAATTCGAATTATTCGTACCGATGATGGTACAAAATATTTCAACTTTATTATTGGTGATTTTTTCCGAATCAATAGTATTTTACACCAAAACTCATGTATTGGTACTCCAAAACAAAATAGTGTGGCTGAAAGAAGAAATCACCAATTCTTGATGTTGTACGTGCCCTCATGTTTTCAACAAATGTTCCAAAATATTTCTGAGAGGATGTAGTGTTAACTGCGTGCTACTTAATTAATCGACTTCCATAAAAAATACTAAATTATAAAATGCCACTTGAATCTCTTGACATTCTTTCCTAATTATTGTGTTTTTTTCTAAATTAGAGTCTTGAATTTTCGGAAATGTTTCTTTTGTTCATATGCCGCGTCAAGGGAGTTCAAAATTAGACCCTTGTTCCCTAAATTGTGTTTTTCTTGTATATTTTGCTACCTAGAAAGGTCGTCGGTGTTATTGTCCTCAAAAAAGAAATATTATACCTCCATTGATGTTAATTTTTTTGAGAATTAAACTTTTTATACCTGAAATTTGCCTGAGGGAGAGAGTGAGAGTGATCCGAATTTTTGAAAACAATTTAAAATAGGCAATGGTGAGATTATTTTTTCAATTAAGGTCCAAATCTTCATATATGGATTTAAATGAGGAGATTTTAGATTGGGAAACAATCGAAAAATCAAATTCCATCACACCAAATCTTACCTCAAACCCGTGGGAGTTGAATTAGGAATTTGTCCCACAAACTGTAAAAGTTGTAGAAAATCTTAATCAGTCCACATCAGAATCTGTGATGAAAATAAAAAAATAATCTCCTTACTCAAAACTAAGATCTCAAACACAAATCCACCTTCAGGAAAAATTCTACCACTTGTCTCTATTGGCAAACATAGAGTCAAAGATCTGCTAACTCATTCAAGAAGAAAAAATCGAAAGAGAGGAAAGGACATTGAGCCCCTACAATCTCAAACCTCAAATCTAGATTCAGATCTTAAGAACCATGATCTAGAGGTTTCTACGGATGTGAGAAAAGAAATCAGGTTTTGCACTTATGACCTATTCTCAAAATTTGTTGGATATAATAAGTTCTTTGGACACTACAAGACGTTTGTTACAAACTTGACAGAGGTAGAGATTCCAAAAATAGTAGGTGAATCCTTAAAAGAACTAGCATGGAAAGCTGCTATTTTGGAAGAAATATGTGCATTAGAGAAGAACCGGACTTGGGATGTGGTGGAAAAGCCAAAAGACAAAGTTGTTATTGGATGTAAGTGGGTCTTCACGGTGAAATACAAGACCAATGGTACTGTTAAAAGTAGACTAGTCACAAAAGGTTATACGCAAACTTATAGTGTGGATTATCAAAAGACTTTTGCGTCTGTTTAAAAAATCAATACGGTATGTGTACTTCTATCTCTTGCTACTAACTTAAAGTAGTCTTTACAACAAGTAGATGTAAAGAATGCATTTTAAATAGAGAACTTGAGGAGAATGTCTTTATTAACTTACCATCGGGATTTAATAATGGCAGCCACAGCAAGGTAGTCAAATTGCGGAAATGTTTGTATGAACTTAAGCAATCTCTGCATGCTTGGTTGGACAGATTTATGAAAGCAATAAAAAGACAAGGTTATATGCAGGCATAGATGGATCACACACTATTCTTCAAGCACAAAGAGGTAAATGACTATCTTAATAGTTCACGTTGATGATGTTATTATAACAGAAGATGATAATGAGGAAATTACCCGAGTCAAGAAAGGCCTTGCTTCAGAATTCAAAATGAAAGATTTGGGTAAATTTCATCGCTTCCATGGTATGGAGATAGATCGAAGTCGAGAGGGAATCTCAGTATCTTAAAGAAAGTATATTATTGATTTATTAAAGGAAGTTGGTATATTGAGGTGCAAGCCCCTTGACATTCCTATGGATCCAAATGTGAAATTGGGCAGCTTTAAAATGAGCAAACCAGTTGCCAAAAGGTTTCAAAAGTTAGTTGGGAAACTAATTTACCTTTCATATACTAGATCTGACATTAGTTTTGCTGTAAGTTATGTCGGCTAGTTTATGCATGCACCCATAGAGGAACACATGGCTGCAGCTACATGAGTTTTAAGATATCTAAAAGTATCTCTAGGAAAATGTTTACTTTTTAGAAAAACCTCAAATTGGGATATTAAAGCATTTACAGTTGCAGTTCAGGTAGGATCTGTTATAGATAGGAGACCAACCTCAGGGTATTATTTATTTGTCTAGGAAAACTTAGTCACTTGGAGAAGGAGGAAACAGATTATGGTCGCAAGAAGCAGTGCAGAATCTGAGTTGAGATACTTGGCTCATGATGTGTGAGAGATGGTATGACTGAGAAACTTATTGTGAGAATTAAAACAACAAGCAAGTGAACCATTAAAGTTATACTATGACAACAAAGTTGCTATCAATATCATTCATAACCCAGTTTATCATGGTAGAACCACACATGTTGGAATAGAAGATGGAATGGGGTGTATTATTTATGTTCCAACTTGGAGTCAAGTGGCTGATGTCTTGACTAAGAGTCTCCAGAGACTCGATTTTGAGAGATTAGTTGACAAGTTTGAACTCCACAACATTTACAGCCAAACTTGAGGGGGAGTGTAGGAAAGTCCATTAATTATTTATTTTATATTTAAAATGATTGGTTGTATTTTTAGGATGTAGGAATATATTGTAACATCTTCTATATTTAGAATGGTTAAATTAGGATGGTAGAATTCTATTGATTAGGCCTGTATATTTCTCTTGCTCGTATATGCCACGGTATATTATTCTCTTTCCAATAAGAAGATTATTCAAATAAGACAGTATAGACATAAAATTTTTCTTTCTAATCTCTTTTAATTGTGAATTTGAGAGCTTCAGACTGGATAATGGGAGGTGGTACTGTCTTCTAGAATTACAATCCATGCCAAGAAAGCCTTACAGTGAAAATAGCAGATCAATCCTTATCTAAAGGTTCTAGAACTGGTTCTACCATGATGTAGAGGACTTAACTCTATATTGGGTATTTTCTGTTCCTAACCAAAGACTATAATCTTTTGTCAGTTAGCAAGCAGACTCAAGAACTTTACTATGTTGCCAAATTTATCTCGGGTTTTGTGAATTTCAGGACTAGGATTTGGAAAAAATAATTAGTAATGGTAAGGTGTTTTCAGGACTTTTTCACCTTAAAGTTAGTGAATCTCCTAGAAGACAAAACTCATAATACAATATGTGTTGAGTTAAAAAAATCGGTATAATAGAAGTCGTGTTCCTTCTGAAATTTCCAATAAATGTAGTCTAATCATGTTGTGGCGTTATTTTATAGGACATCCTATTTTTTCATACTTTAAAAGATTTTTTTTTGTTCAAGACTAAAAATCTGAAACTTTTTCGATTTTAGGTGTGTCAATTTTTTAAACATGTT